TGATAGCTCACTTTTCGAGCTCCGGTTTTGAAGTCGCCAAGCTTTGGGAACCGTTAACATCGTGCTCGCGGTGAGGAGAGCCTTCAAATTGGTTAAGTGGGTTGCCAAATTGCCAAAAAGTGAGTCAAACTTCGCAACGTTGTTAGCTTGGTTTCTGAGATTTGGTTCTTTAAGTCGCCAGGGTTTTGGAACGGCCAATATCGTTTCAGCAGTGAGGAAAGCCTTTAAAACCAGTTGGAGTGGATCCAGGAGACCGCCAACATCGTGCTCGCGGTGAGGGATGGGACAGAGTTGCTACGAGACTGTTGTTGAAGGGTTTTGAAGACCTGCAAACCCTCTCGAGCAATCGGCGCCCTTCAACTTCTTCTAGGAAGCTCAGCCTTCGAATCTCAGGAGTGTGTGGGAAAACCCCAAGACGCTGCCCGGAACCTCTGTTTCTTGGGTTTCGGAACCGGCATTCCGGAGATCAGGTCGAGAGAATCTTAGCTGCTTGCTCCGACTCGAACGCTTCCACTTCGGAATCGTCCTGCCAGGTGATTGTCAATGGCAGCGCTTCGTACTGCATTCCAATATCGGCTGCCCGTCCTTCTTGGAGCCGCTACACTAAACTTCCCGCCTCCGAAGAGGTTTGAGCATCACACACAGACTGAAATTCCAATTGCAGATTGAAAACCCCGCCGAGCGTCAGCAGGATGTTCACCGTTTTCACATGCATTATGCTCCCGTCAAAACCCTATCTTTTTATGCCCTTAAAGAGATCCCGAAGTCTCCGTGCTCCCTCCTTCGGATACAAAGTTCCTCAAATCTCTGATCTAGCTCTAAGAAAGACAATTTTTGACACTTTGTCTCAACCCGGAAATACCTAGGGACTTGCCGCCAGCCCACCGCCTATGGCATAGCACCACTCATAAGGCAAGGCGCGGTCGTCCGTGCTCCTTCTGCTGTCTTCTGTCCATTTTCAAACCTGAATTTCTGCAAGATTACATTTATACAAGCCTATCCTCCGCATCGATCCGCGGAATCTTTAGCCTGCTCACTTCCAACGGCGTGACCACCATTTCCAAAGGCAGATTGCGCCCCTGCCTCCCGAACCCCTTGGATTGAAGAACTCTTTCCAGACCGCTAAAAGCTGACTTTGGGACCATTGAACCGTATTCTCATTTTGCAGATCCGGGGGACGTTCAGCCAACCGATCGCCAACGGCTTGGGCACCATTTCCCAAGGGCAAGATGTGTCCCTACTTCTCAAATCCTTTCCATTTGACCCATTTTCAAATCGCTAAGACCCTGTAAAATCAAAGTTCTGTTCCACTTCTCAGATCCGGGGGACGTTCAGCCAACCGATCGCCAACGGCATGGCCACCATTTCCAAGGGAAAAATGCGCTCCCCCGTTCTTCCAAAGCCCCTGTCTAGCATCTCCGCTTCGATGGAAGTCAAAGAGAACAAGCTCTTAGTGGACTGGCTCGAGGGGCGAGTGGGGCGGAGCGGACGGCTCAAAGTGAAGGGCGCCATTCCGCTGCTGCCGGCGGAATCCGCTGCGACCAAGCCGGGGGAGGCTCTGGAAGTCCGGACGGAGAGCTTCGAGGTGAGCGGGGGCTCTTCTCTGCTTACAGAGGCTTGAAGTTATGTGCAAGCGCCGCCGTCGTTTCCTCTCCTATTCCGTGTTGTAGCACGCCGTGAGTCCGTTTGGCCGTTCCAATACTGCATCTTCCAAGCAATCCGCCACTTTGGAGCCCATCTCACTCAGTAGCAGATTGCCCATAACCCACGGAATTTTGTACCAAGTTTGGCACGTTGCTCGGAGGCAGTCTGTTAGGGCCTGCCCTGAGCGCAAACGGAGCTGCTCAAACGTGAGCCTTTGGCTGGCTCGTGCCTGCAGACCCTGAGGGCGCACAGGACTTCATAGATTTGCACCGACAAGTGACCACTCAAAAGGGGGCTGCTTCTGGATTTTATGGACTTAAGCGGTTTTGTTTTAGTCGGGCAGGTGGTAGTATTTCTTCTATCCTGCTTCGGCCGAGAATCCCATGCTACCGCCAGGATCAAGTCGCGAAGCTTGACACGTGTCAAACCATGGTTAGCAGGTGCGCGCAAAGAGCGTGTACAACGGTCTCTTGGACGCGGTGATCAAGCTGACGGGATGCCTGACGGAGCCGGAGGTCGCCGGAAACGTGCGCCTCAGCAAGGGCCAGGCGCTGCTATCCCCAGTGAGCAATTGATCAGACTATCAGATTGAAACTCTTGATTATCACTAATTTTATCAAGAACTGTCGAGACCGTGTTGAATTACGGCCACGTTGAGACCGGTCACTGTGCTTGGGACGGGTGGGCACGTTTTGGGGTTAAAGACGGGTGTGGGTGTGGAGCAGATTAACCTTGGGCCTACGGTTTAATGTGTGTGATTCGGGGCAACTGATCTAAATCAACGTATGCCTGAGTCAATCCAACATCGAGACTCAAGCGTTGGGTTTTGGGTTGCACTGGCGTTTTCTGAAGTAGCGAAGCAAAACAAGCCCGCATACCTCGGATCCGGATGCGCTGCGCTGGCAAGTCAAGTCGAACGTCACGGTTTCAAACAACGTCGCTTGGAACTGATTTTCAAGAAAAGAGCCCCAAAACCTCTAGTCCAAATCTTTGCGGACGTCCGCTTTGTCGCTGAACAACGATGTGGTTTTCTGGAAAATTGGACATCAACAAACCACGGTTCGCAATCCTTTCCCGCAGGAGAAGAGCCCGCAGACCTCTGGTTCGGACGACGCCCCCCCGGCCAAGTCCAAGTCGTTGCGGACGTCCTCTGCTGCTACCGACGCCCTGCGGAACCTGCCGCTGGTCCACGGAATACCAATAAGCACGCCCGAGGTGCTGCTGAACTGGCCACTCGCAGAGGAGGAGGTCGACGCTGACGTCAGCACCAAGGTTCCGGTGCCGGTTCGGCTGAAGGTGGGCGGCCCGTACATGCATTGAGTCGGTTCGAACTTCAAAACTCTGGAAAGTGATGCTTTTATAGCCGAAACGCCAAGAGGAAAGCTCAACTGGTCGCTCGCAGAAGATTAGGTTGACGCTGACGTCAGCACCAAGGTGGAGGTGCCGGTGCGGCTACAGGGTACGAAGACCGTGGACCTTTGTGAGGAAGTTCGAAAAGTGTTGCACGGCGAGATTCATAAGAAGCGGGGAGTTGCCGGTTGAGCTTTTAAAGTGGTGCTGAGGTCAGCACTCAGGTCTTGGTTAGAGTCAGGGTCAAGGGAGAACAAACCGCAAAATCACGGTTGTTTGACCAATAAGTTTTGACCCTGAAACCTTGAGATGTCAAGTTGGGGTCATGTCGTGCTGACGTCAGCACCAAGCTGACAGTGCGCGCAGGGCTCAAGATACGACCACGTCATGCGCTGTGCGAATATCAAGGGGAATGGCGTCGTCCGTGAAGATCCTGATTGATTTAACACCTCATCGGCGAAGGGTGTTAAGGAATTTCTGTTGTGGCCTTGCTCGAAAAGACTTAGGATTGCGCAAGAGTTTTGGCGACTGCCACAATTGAGCCTGATTGCCTTCGGAAAAGCGAAATGTACTTCGCTGAAACGACGGCGCTTATTAGTGCATTGTTGTATCGCAAGGGATACAGCCGTACGGGGCCCCTTGTCTTATCGTCCTTTCCCCTCGCGACGCCATTGCTTCCACAATTGAGCGCTGGATCATCAACCACTTATTTCTACTGCAGGGTTTCAAGGTCATCTTAGGCCCCGACCTCCGTGTGGCGTACCCCTTCTTCCTCAACTTTGGCGTTTCCGGCGAGCTGGAACTGAACGGAATTGCGGATCCGCTGCTGATCAAGCCCCGGGGGACGATCCTGTTTGAGAACGGTGACGTCAACCTGGTGGCGACGCAGGTCAAGCTCAATCGGGACCACCAGAACAAGGCGGTCTTCCTTCCGGAGCAGGTGAAAGTCAGCCGTTTGTTTGGCACAAAAGAATCTATGAGAGTTATCAAAGCGGTGCCGGCACTGCGTAAGCCGAGCGAATGATGAGCGACCAGAATTTGTTGGCTGTTATAATCAGGACTATGTCCTCATAATCAGGACTAAAAATGTGAACGATAATTTGAGGATCCGTCCTCTAATGAAACGGCGTGGTGGACCTTATCCCAGTCGAAGTTTTGAAATTTCTGCACGCATGGCACCTGAGGCTGTTGTCAGCGGAGTGCATGGAAGGGCTGCAATCAGGCGGAACAACACTTTGACCTTCACAAAGTATTGAACACACTATGAACGTTCCGTTGGCAAAAAGAATCGTGGACATTCCGTTGGTGAACGTTCCGTTGGCGGACGTTCCGTTGGTGCGCTCGGACCTACAGCTGACGTTTACGCTTACGCTTCTGACGTACGAAAATTTCCGATATGAGACTCAAATTCGGTGCAAGTATTCACACCGCCAAGGAGCCCAATCACCTTTGATTTTGCTCCTGCAGAAAATGGGCATGATCTGGACGTCCGATTGGTGTGCTTGGACAGCAACGGACAAAGTTCCCCAGATTGACATCCACCCTGGAACTAGAATAACTTCAATAGCAAGGAGCCTATTCACACCCAATTCATTCCTGCAGGGAATGGACCCCAATCTGGACGTCCGATTGGTGGGGTCCGATTTGCAGCTGATGATCAAGGGCCGATCCACCAACTGGCAGGACAATCTAGTGGTGACGTATGTCAAGGCCGGAGAAGACGCTGAGGCGCTCTCGCCAACAGCGGTGAGCATTTACTTTTGATGAGAGGTTTTGCGTTGGGTTAGGCTTGGGTTGAGTTGCATCAGCGCCAAGGGTCACACTGACAGATAAACCGATTCTTTTCCGGGCTCAACACCCATGTTTAAGTATGCAAGCCGAAGGAAGACGCCAGAGGCGCTCTCGCTAACAGGAGTGAGCATTCAGCAGATCAACTTTCGTCGGATTAGGCCTAAGGTTGAGTTGCACCATCCCCGAGCCTTCACGTTAACTACAAGCTTCAACCCAAGGCTAACATCCTTTGCACCTATAACACTTTTCAACCATCAAAGAGTTGACCGGCCCTCCGGGCAGTGACCAGACTGAACGGAGCCGTAATCCAAGGTCCATATAGTGCGTTCCTTAAAATCTATTTCCGGCCCCCACGATTCTCGTCGGAGAGGGTTGTCTTCGTCAACTGAACGTTTGCCTCCTCGACCGCGGTTTGGGTCATCGAATAGCTCAACTTTTAATGCTCGCTCAGAACGAGAACCGCGAAGTTCCTCTTTTGTTTTCGAAGTCCTTCTTCTTGTGTGCAGACTGCGAAAGTGTTCGAGAGCCAGCTGGCCAGCGCACTGTTGGAGGAGGACGGGCAGATCGCGTTCGCCAACCTCGCAGCGTCGACCATCAGCACCGTGATGCCTAAGGTGGAGGCGCGCTTCCGCACTGGCCAGGTGAGCGGGCGTTGTTCGCACTTACAAAAAAAAAGAGGGAAACAATAAGCCATGTTTACAATTTCAAGGTTTCAGGATTACGAATCCAGCTTTCGAGGGTTTCGATGCGACTTGTTGCCTAAAGTGGAGGCGCGCTTTTGCACCGGCTAAGTAAGTCGGCGACTACGTTTTCAGGTTCTGGGTTTCAGGTTCATAGCATTCAAGGTTTGCTTGTCACAGAAATCCATTTTTGGGGCTTCAATGCCGCGTCTGAGTGCCCAAAGTGGAGGCGCGCGCTTCCGGACCTTTCAGGGAAGTGATCGACATTCACATTTCCAGGCTTTCGGATTCTTCGGGTTCAGGACACGTCGCTGTTACGTCAGGAAACCGACCGGAAGAATCCATTTGCCTAAGGTTAAGCTCCAATTCCCGAAAAACAGTTGGGTTTCAGCATGACAGGCCTCGACCTTCTAAGAGCTCTCTCTCTGGATGCCTGAATGGGAGAGGCATTCCTGGCCGCTTGCTCGCCTCAGCGGTTGGCAAGTTGCAAGAACTCAGCCCTTGGCGTTCCTGTACATTCTGTTGAAACCAGTTGAGCCACATTCTCGAGACCCATCTGGATAGGCGCAGACCGGTGTCCGCTATCCGGAAGACCGGCTTCCATTGTTGCTCATGTCGACTCCTCCTTTCATCAGACCTGCCCAGATGTACGGCTCCCATCGCTTCAGGGCGGCGATCGACGGCTCTGATGAAATGTAGATTTTGCAGGCACGCTGGCGGCTGGTGTCGGCCCCTCAGATTCCAAACCTCCTGTCACTCGATCCGACAACGGACCCCTTCAAAAGCCTTTCAAATCTCAATCTTGGCTACGAAATCGAAGTGCAGCTTGGAAAGAAAGTCCGGGTGAGGCGTGACTCTTTGTTATCCTTCGGATTCTTTGTTGTCGATTCTTGAAAGTGCGCTTAGCTTGAAGGCCGCTTAACGGCACTCCAGGCCTGATGTATCTGGATACCCAGACACCATGTGGGAACGAAAAGAAAGCCTGGTAGAGCTTTTATGCACGATATCGCTCCTGGTGCAGTCCGTGCTGGGTCTGAAATAATCCGCACGCCGTCAGTTCCATAAGGACACTTGTTGCCAATCCTCGTAAAGCGGCAAAGTCGCTAGATTCTGGAACGCTTTTCGACAATATGTTGCATCCCCGACGACGGAGCCAACATCGTTCTCACACGAGCCATCATCTGCTCGTTTGGAGTGCTCATCGTGCTCATTTTGGTCCACCCATCTCACAAGCAGCTTTTGAATTGCAGGCGCACATTCAGCGCCAGATGAAAGAGTCCGAGATGACGACTCAGTGGACGTTGCTCTACCAGCTGAGCAGCCGGTTACGCGCCCTCTTCAGTAGCGTGCCGTACGTCGACAACAAAGTCTTACTCGAATACTCGGCTTCTTCTCAGGATTAGTCTCGCATAGCTCCCATTGTAAGAACATCGTATGGTGGGCCGCATCATGCTTCGGGTCCGCGACGAAGGGGTCCGTAGAACAAATCCCTTTCACCGAGAGAGCAACCTGACTGTGGTCGAAATGTCCGATTCAGCACTGTGACCTTTTATCTGGGGCCTTGCAAGCTGCGTTCTTGAAATGATACCATGCAGCCATGTCGTGCGGTGCTGTATTGCTGCGGCAACGCCTCGGCGCCATCATGTCTCTTGTCTCATCTACGAATTGCATCACATGCTAATCCTAGTCACAACAAATCAGCTAGCTGCAGATATAAGCACTCCGCTTAATGAATGATGCAATAGTTGATTGGTACACCGCCAACCTCGCCTCGCTGCATACAAGAGCAATAACACAATTGCTCAGAGAATCTCTGATTTGGCACTCATGGAAGAAGCTCTGTTTGAGGTTCTCACTGAACCGCCATAACGCGGCTTCTCTCTCAACGGACAGAAAGTTGCATCCGCAACTTTCGGGTCCGGCATGTCTCCAGTGTCCGCACTACATGAGTCTGAGCAATCTATCGTCATCTTGAGTCAAGCGCAGCGGCTCGATTGAGTCGAACCCTAAAGATCGACGGCTGAAGATACCTAAGCAAGCCCTCAGAAACCTCGTTGAGCACTCTTTACCTCTAACCCGGCACATACTCGCAGGGGGTGCTCCAGAAACACCGCAGTCACAAATTAACTCCGCTCATTCGCGTTGCCCAACAACAAGTCTGCCATACTCAACCACAGATGCTGGTGCAAGGGCTACCCGGCCAAGTGACCAGCAGCGGAACTGGTAGCCGACACCAGAAGCTGCCTCTTTGCCATCAAGCACTGCAGGTTCTTCCTCTCGCGAAGGAAGAAGTAAAGGTAGTGACTTTCCGAGATCTTGGAAGTCCAGATCAATTTTCTGTTTTCTGTTTGCATGCCACCCGCTGGGTTACACGCAAAATGGCCATGACGCCACTTTAGAGGCCAAATCGGGCTCTTAATCTTGGCTTCTTTTTCTAGTCGTCGATGTCGTGGCTAATTCAAGTACAGTACGGGGCACAACATTGTGCTCGTGGATGTCCCAGAGTGCCCGGTGGTGAGTTGCCCTTGCCTACCCATGCAGCCGTATAGTATTACGTCCGAAGATTGACCATCTGCGAACGTACACGGGTCCAAACCGCAGGCCGTCCCGGACGGTCTGTTCCGAAGTGATTGAGAGTGCACGCGCGCATTATAGGACCCGCTGATTGCTTTGGTATTGTATTTTATATGAATGTACAGGGTAATGCATTGACTCCACGCAAACCCTTCCTTGCGCGGCTCAGGCCGAGCGAACGAGCGAAGGTATTGACTGGGAAACAAGCTCCTCGGCACGGCGGCAACGTACGAAGCCAACTTGAGGGCTGAGACACGTGTGTATAGCATACGTCTTGAGTCCAACAATGTTCCAGCGCGGGACTGGCTGGAAGCCTAAAGGCGCGGGGAGGACGTCAAGCTACAGCGACATATCCTTGCGGCTGCTTCCTCCACGAGTTCGTATGGTTCGGAAGACATGTTCTACACATCATAGCGCAGTCTTTCGAAAGGACTGCCACGGAGATGGTGCAGATAGTTATTTTCGAAGTTCGCTCCAACCATTTACACACCTGAGGTTGTTCCATCATTACCTACAGCATCGACAATCAGAATTTTCACTGCTGCTCTTTCAGATCCTTACTCGAATTGATTGGGATGCCCTCAAGACGGTGCAATTTCTACCTACCCCATTAACGCAATCCAGTCCTACCCTGCCGTTGATCACCTAGGGATCAGGAACCTCGAGGCCACTTGCACCGTGCTTTCATAGGCTGACCGCTCCGCAGTTGAGGAGCCCAGGCTGCCTAAGTACGCGGACGACTCGTCCGACTCCCATATCTCCTCCTTTATAAAACTCGCGTCCACAACCGAGGCTCGAGCGAGAAGGGAGCCGACGTCTTGCATGGTGGGCCTAGCGGATGGGTCGCTCCGCATGCACGCCAGTGCAACGTGGATGTAGTTGCGCGCCTCCTCCGCATTGTAAGCCGTCCTGAGAGCTGGGTCAACCAACTCCAACCCTCTCCCCTCGATTACCAGATCCGTGGCGACCTTCAGGAGCCGCTCCACGACTCCGCTCTCGAGCTGACGCACAACCGGGCGCCCGCTAATGAGCTCCAGCGACAACATCCCAAAGCTGTAGACGTCGCACTTGGGGGACAGAAACCGAGCACCCCCGTGCAGGTACTCTGGGGCCATATATGGCACCGTGCCCTTAACCATGGTCGACGTCTTCCCCCCGGTGTCTTGCACCAGGTGCGCAAGGCCAAAGTCAGCGATGCAGGCATCGGTGGGGTCGCCGTCAGTCAGAAGGATGTTGGCGGCCTTGATGTCCCGGTGCACCATGGGGGGCCGAATATGGCTGTGCAGGTAGGTCAACCCCTGGCAAACCCCCCTTGCGATGTTCATCCGGTCACCCCACGTCAGCACGCCCCCCCCTGCCGCCGAGTGGTGAAGCCGCCTGTCCAGGCTCCCCCGGATAAAAAAGTCGAAGAACAGCAACCGCTCCCCTCTTTCCGCGCATACCCCGAGAAGGGGCACCAGATTTATGTGCCGAACCTTACCCAGAGCCTCGACTTCCGTTTTCCAGGACCGCTCCTCAACGTCTCTGCGCCCAGGCCTTGTTTCCAAGCGTTTCACTGCAAGCATCGAACCGTCTGCGAGAACACCCTTGTAGACAGTCCCAAACGACCCCCTCCCGATGACGTTGGCGCTGTTGAAGTTCCCAGTAGCCTTTTGCAGCTGCTTGAAGGTGATGCGCTCCTGACGCTTTATGGGGGCCGGTTGTTTTAGTGCAGCCTGATTCTGCAACTCGTCCTTCCCCCCTTCCTCCAGGCCTGTCGGTGGCCCTTGGTTCGACATGCGCTTTTTCCTAAGGTGGAGGCAGAACCCCAAGGTTGCCAGGGCCAGCATAAAAGAAATTCCAGCCAGGACCCCACCCACTATTGGGCCAACGGAAGGAGGCGGTGAGGGCGGTGAAGCTTGAGGGAGAGGCGGTGGTTGCATTGGTGAAAGTATGAAGGGGGACGCCATCGAAGGAGGGTAAATAGGGGGCAAGACTGGGGGTAAGGAAGTAGGCGGTTCTATAGGAGGAGATGGCAGAAGAGGTGGCAGAGGCGGGGGGGACCTTGGGGGCGCTGGCAAGATGGCTGGGGGCGGATTCCCAGTGCATGGCAAGCTGAAGGTGCACCCTATGCAACACAATCCAGAATTCCCTGGGTAGAAAGACGAATTGGATTGCCTGAAGAGAGGGGGGGGGATGGGGCCGGAGAGATTGTTAGCGGCAAGGCCGAGGATCGAGAGGTTGGTCAGGCGGCCGAGCTCGGGGGGAATGGGGCCAGAGAGGTTATTAACTTGGAGCAGGAGGGTGGTGATATTGGGCAGGCTGCTGAGCTTTGAGGGGATTGGGCCGGAAAGGTTATTGAAGGAGAGGTCGAGGTAGGTGAGTCTGGTCAGAGTGCTGAGCTCTGGGGGGATGGGGCCGGAGAGATTTTTGTTGTCCCAGAGGTCCAGATAAGTTAGGCTTGTGAGGTTGCCAAGCTCTGCCGGAATGGGGCCAAATAGGTTGTTTTGGGAGAGGTCCAGGTAGGTGAGATTGGTCAAACCGCCGAGCTGCGGGGGAATGGGCCCTAAGAGGCCCTTCAGAGACAGACTGAGCCTGGTCTGACTCCAGAGAGGACCAGCAACCAAGTTGCCAATATCCTCCATGGTGGCTGGCTGCACTTTGCACACGAGAGTAAACCCCCACAAAATTACCAGAAGCAGCATCCTTGCATCTAGATGAGCTGCAGGTCTGGCCATGGTGCACGTCCAAAGATTCTATCTGCAAGGGGAATGGAGTTTGAATGAGTGGAGGCAACCAAATCGCAATCTTCATGGTAGGAGAAGAAAAATTGACTTCCCATGAAGCATTTTCTCTATAAAGATGATGGTAGATGACCGACACTGCAAACCTGTCCTTTCTTGGCTCCTAGGATTGGTCTCCAAAGGTAACACATGGTGGTTGTACATTGACTAGCATTTGCTGTACAAAACACACTGGGGCAACACAAGGTACATGGGAGCAATTGATGGGATAGTTCAACAGCTCAGGTGCTCATCAAGCACTGCGAATCATCATTAAGCGCTCTTTACTTTTGATGCACATCCTCACATTGGGGGGCTCCAAAAATACCTCAGTAGCTCAGTCACGTTTTGACTGAGCTACTGAGCTCAGCGCAGCGTTTGCCCTCCGTTTGCCCTACAACAGACCTGCCATACTCAACCACAGATGCTCGTGCAACGGCTATCCGAGTGACCAGGCAGCGGGAAATAGTAGCAAACACCACAAACGCTGCCCCTTTGGCGTAGAGCAGGCGCAGGCGCCCTTGGAAAGAACGTGGAAAGAACTCCCTCCCGCGAAGCAAGACCGATAATTAGAAAATTTTCTATAGAGAGAGGCCCTTTGTTCGGGCTGTAAAATCTGAGCTTAATAGTTTAATGATAATTTTGAATCTGGATCGTCGGCAATCTATGACGTCAGCTTGTAGCAATCCTCGAACGTCGATTTCTTTGTTCTTGTCGATTCATTCTCCCATTTACAAATAGAAGCTTGGGTACTAAAGTACCAGATGGGATTTAGAGGTGTACACGAGAAAATTGGGACCGTGAGTCCTGCAACTCGGCGCACGAATATATTTGTAGATATTCAAGTACCCAAGACTATTTCAATTAGGGTGTCTGGAATCTGGATATGATCGACGCAAAATGTGAAGATCGAGGACAAAACATCGATTTAAGAAACTCCCCCGTCTTTTCGGAGCTCATGATTGGCACAGCTTGAGTATCGGCTATAAAGTTTACAATAAACCCATTAACCTCATTGATTTCGAGAATTCACCCTGAAACACATATCACACTTTCAAAAGCGCATATCGTTAAAGCTTCTATTACGCAAGCTATTTTCAAACAAAACCCTTCCTCTATCGCCCAACCCGATTTCGGCAACGATGCACTATACTATAATGGCTCATATGCAGATCAAAAGTTG